AGAATGAACATCTCATTTTAAAATATAAAAGATCTAAAATATAATTAAAATAATTGTTGAGTTCCAACAAATAAATAATTATTCTCTTTATAAAAAAAATTATATTATTAAACTAAATATGAATTATTTCGTTATTATACATAAATTAAATTATTAAAAAATTAAATTAAAAAAATACACAAGAAATGAGGAATTTCAAATAGTTAATTTGATACTAATATCGATATATTTTTGTCAAATTTTTATGATATTTTCAAACATATATTTTATTCAAAAATAAAAACACCATCGTTTTCTCAAAATCACATAAAGTCATATTATAACATCAGCTGAGATAAATAATAAAATGAAATATTAAAATCACGATGTATCTCGCTGCATTACGCGAGTACGCTTTTAGTATATTAAAATATATATATAATAAATATGAGATTTAGTTTACAAACTTATGTTATTTATATAAACCGTACAAACCTCATTCAACCAATAATAATTTTTTTTTTTCATTTTCTGTAATTATAAGAGGTTGATTAATCTTTTTTATTGTAGTGGATGTTAACCATGAATATTATCATCTTCGTTATATTAATTTTAAAGAAATATATAAAACAATTTTATTAAAATTTCATAAGTATTATATTAAACAATTTCATAATCATATATGAAACAACTTCTTCTTGAAAAGTATTATATGAAATAATTTTATAATATTAAACAATTTCATTAAACAAAATCATTAAATTAAATAATAAAATCAATTGATAAGGATTGTCTGTAAGATTTGTACAAATATGAGTGGTTTGCCCCCACCCTATTCATTTTTATGAATGTTCGGGAATGATCTCTTCCAAATTTGTTTGTTTAACAAACAAGTACCGAACTTGGGACTTCAAATCGGATTCAATAGTGAACTTAAATTTGGGAAGAAAACTGAAAGTTTTCTATATTCAAGCAATCATCCAGGTTGCCCAAAAAGCAACTAAATAAGAAGGCAAAAAAACGAAATGGGCCTGAAAAAGGCTATGGGTTGAATATAAAAGTCCAAACGAAAAATATAAAAATTAGCAAAAACAAGAGTCAAAAAACATGCTTAAACAACGTTTTTTGATCTCGAAAATCCAGTAGGCCCCTTTGGACGCATGCTTCTCGTTTCAAGCTCTAAATAGCCTTGTCATGTAGCAAAAGTTATGCACGTTTACACGCGACACCTTTTGTTATCACGATCATGGGTCTTCAAGAACAATAGGGTCTGGTCCTCCGCATCATCCCTCTCTAATGCTTTAACCAGCTATTCAAAATGGTTTGCAGCTACATCATTTCTTTGGAATGATTCGATTTAATGTGCTTCAAATAGTTTTGACTCTATTCATTTGTGTAGCCACAAAACGTTTGGGATTGATTTAAGGTTTTAATTTTGGGTTATGAATTTTTATAATTTTAAGGTTTCTTTTTCACACCTTTTATTGGATTTGTACGTACATCAATGTTGTTTATATTCATATGGTATTGACTTGTATGGTGGATGTTCTTGGTTTGAGCAAAGACGGAGCTCGATCAGGCATCATGTTAATAGACGAAACGGGACGTAGAAGTGGTTGTGGTTGTGGTTGTGGTTGTGGTTGTGGTTGTGGTTGTGGTGTTTGGCTAGGACAGCAAGGGGGAGGTGGGAACGGGGTCATGATCATGTCACACTTTCACATGTGGAAGTAAAAACACAGATATGCCAAGATTTGAAATGCTAGATATGAGTAAGCAATAACAATACAAAGGGAAAGAAATAAGAGACATATACGAGTAAGCCAGAAGAATATAAATAGATTAAGAAAACTGATGGAACGAGACTCTACCTTTGACCTTGTTACAGAAAGGGCAGGATTCGTACGTACTGGTAAAGCACAACCTCCTTAGGAACGAGATCCGTTTCGCATACGCCTCTTCTTCCACCAACAGGGAGGAGGTAGGAGGCACCAGCAGCGACGCTGGCGGCAACACAACCCAGCGACAGAAACACTTTAGCAGCACCCGATGAACCTCCTAGGGACATCACATTGATCCCATAGATGTAGAAACCCACCGCCGAGAAGAACCGCCATTGGTAGCGTAAAGGGAAGTTGCTTGAAAGAGTCTATTATATCGATGGTGGTGGTGTTGGGAGGAAGCAAGAATGGCTCGGGATAACGAAGTGGAAGCGGCGGCGAGAGGAGAAGCTCTTCTCGTCGTATGGGGTTGAGGGATGCAGCGGTTATGCTAGGGTACGAAGGAAGCAAGAATGGCTCCGGATAACGAAGTAAAAGCGGCGGCGAGAGTAGCTTTTCTCATCGTATGGGGGTGAGGGATGCGGCGGTTAAGCTAGGGTAGGGTGGCCGACGGTGGAGGTATTTTATAGCCCGTGGTGGGAACGGGGCTGCGTGCTACTTGGTACATTCGCGATCTCTCGTGAACTTCTTAAATAGAACCAAATTCTAAAACTTGCTTATTTTCATCCCTGTATTTTATTAAAACTTGCTATTTTCATCCCTGGTCTTTCTGTGTCAATGTGAGTTGCAATTTGTTCAGTTTTCGTCCTGGGGATTAACTCCGTTAAATGATGGACATATCAATCCTTTTCTTTTTTTTACCTTTTTTGTGCTTTTTATTAAAAATATATAAAAATACTAGAAGCGTACTCGCGCAATGCAGCGAGATACATCGTGTTTTTAATATTTCATTTTATTCTTTATCTCAGTCAATGTTATAATATKRCTTTATGTGATTTTGAGAAAACGATGATGTTTTTATTTTTGAATAAAATATATGTTTGACGATATCATAAAAAATTGACAAAAATATATCGATATTAGTAT